GAGCCAACCCAAATGCCCACTGATGATAGACTGGACAAGGAAAATGTGGCACATATACACCATGGAATATTATGCAGCCATAAAAAACAATGAGTTTGTGTCCTTTGTAGGGACATGGATGAACCTGGAAACCATCATTCTCAGCCAACTGACACAAGAACAGAAAATCAAACACCACATGTTCTCACTCATAGGCAGGTGTTGAACACTGAGAACACATGGACACAGGGAAGGGAGCTCACACACTGAGGTCTGCGAGGAGGGACTAGGGGGACAGTGGGGAATAGGGAGTTGGGGAGGGATGACATGGGGAGTAATGCCAGATATAAGTGACGGGGATGGAGGCAGCAAACCACATTGCCATGTATGTACCTATGTAACAATCCTGCATGTTCTTCACATGTACCCCAGAACCTAAAATGCAATTTTATATATATATATATATATATACACATATCACTATTCTAGCTATGTATTCATTTTTAAAGTAATGCTTTAGGGTAGCCAAAAAAGCAGCTTAAGGAAGCATAATCAATAGATGTACAACTGATTTTTTACTATGAAATTTCAGTAAATATGGTACATGAAAAGCAAAGCAAAGAAAAAAAACATTGATCTCAAAATGAATTTAAAATGTTTAGCAAATGAATATAAAAATATCTAACATCTTTATACTGATCACTGAGACTTTATTTCTGCTTTCCTGGATAACATAAAAAGCAAATTTTGATGTGGATTTAGGGAAAGGGCAGTATTTTTCTCAAGGTATTTTTTCCTTTTTTTTTCTTTTACTATCTCCAGTAATGGGTATAAGCAATCTCAAGGTGTTTTTTCTACCTGCAGCAAAGACGATACTTCTTTTTACTTAACAGCAATACCACCACCACATTCACTTTAAATTTCAACCACAAAAACAGAATTTTAGAAAATCATTCTCGTGGATGTCATAATTTCATTATGCTCACAATTCTTTCAGGAGCAGTTGACACATATGCCTGTATTTTATATATTTTAGTTCTAGAAGCAATCACACTGTATGTCAGGGGCAAATGCCCAGGAAGAAAGACAGAAACTAAATGAAACCACAAACATGTAATGCATGCTAATGCTTAAGCATATTAGCATCAGTGCTCCAAGAAGTAATATTTTGCTGTTATGGTCAATGGCCATATAGTACACTAAGAGGCAGAGCTACAAGTTATGCTTCAGTGGCGCCTACGAAGAGCTTTGTATGACAAATCAGCTGTTATCCAAAGTGTTGCAGCCTGATGAATGCAGAGAAGAGTTCCTGGGCTTTATTTCTTAATGTACAGACTTAAAGTTAAATATCAAGATGAGATTAAGCGTTTGAATAATTCTGAGAAGGGTAAAAATATTGTTCAGTTGGTTTTTAGAAAAAGTCAGGGACTTCCTTCCAAGAGGGTGTCCTAAAGTAGCTGGCTGCTCTTGTTTCCAAATAGAGAGATTTATATCTCTATTAGAAATAACTCAAACAAGAGATGACATGATAGAAAGCAGTAGCCTGAGTTAAGAAAAAAACAAAACAAAACCAAGGGCCTCAATTAGAGTCAAGTTATTCAGGGGTTTTACATCTGGCAAGAAGTAGCCTATCTTTGTTTATACCAACGGAAGCCCCCAGGAGAATCTAGCACACAGAATGCACAGAAGAATTTGGTCATACCTTTCAAAGTAGTTTAGTTTTCAAAAAATCCACCTTCCGTGAGGGAAAAACACCTTGAGAACTAATTAGTGGTATGAAGGGACAGGAGAAAAAGTCTGTGCTCTGGTTAAGGGATTATTTTGTTGATTTCAGGTAAAAACCTAGGGCCAGATGCTGAGGTAGATGTTCCCAATGCTTATTTCTCCTCTGCCCCAGGGACATTGTGGTCTGTTACATTTGTATCCTCTCAACAGGGACAGGAACAAAGTCTCAAAACAATTTTCCTAAGACAGAATTCTGAATCACAGAGCCGGTGGAAATGTGCTAGGAGTAACAGTGGATTACTGGAACAGCAGTAGGAGAATGGAAAAATACTTTTTTTTCCTGGTTAATCAGATTTCTTGTGAACAAATCCCAGGCCTCTACCCTTTACACTGCAAAAGGTAAACAAGACAAATGGATACTAAACATTCACAAGAAGGCTAAGTTCATGATTGATGCCTTTTACTGTTTAAGATCAGCTATAAATATACTGTTCAGTGGTTTTTAATGGTGTGATTGTCTGACTCAGCAGAACAGTGTCAGGGAAGAAATTTACATAAATGGAAAGTGAAATCTTTCTGCAAGAAACAGGACTGTTAGAAATTGCTTAGGTAAGGAGATGCTCACTTACACAAACATGGATATACATATTAAACCTGTGCTCGCCAATATCTGCTTGAGCTTAAGTTATTGCCCATAAAAAAAGCTAAGATGTTTGCTCTTAATTTCCAAAAAGTCATCTCAGTTTCAATTTTACTTGGAATAAATTCTGCAAATAGAGCTGTCATTAGGAATAAGAATAATAATATCAAGCTGGTATCCACAAACATGACCAAGAACTCAACCTCAAACCTAGCACATATTTAGAAGGCTTGGATAAGGATGACAGCACCATACAAGACAGCCCTAGTCCAATGGGCCCTGCTCTCTAACAATGTGAATGGATCATATGGAAGAGCCTTCATTTCAGTGCAGCATGACACAGGCTCTGGAGTCAGACTGCCTGGATTCAAATCTTAAAGTAATTCCTAGCTATCTGACCATGGGAAAGGCAGTAAAGGCTCTAATCTGTAATTTTCACTTTGATAAAATGGCCTGAAAACAATCCAATGTAAATGTGAAAAATAAAGTTAGAGAATCCATATGAAACACCTACCCTAGTGTCCAGCATATACTAAGCACAATAAATGTTCATTGCTATTGTTGTTGGTGTTGTTGCTGTTACTATTATTTCTCTTTTGCTCCTGGTTATGTGGTTCTGAGCCAGTTTTCTAGATTAAATGATTCAACTCAATTCTTTGCCCTTCTCTGCATCCACATCTTTGCCATAGCTTCATCGTGGGTGGAGTGTGTTTTCTACTGCCTAACCTTGGACTCAGCCATATGAGTTGCTTTGACCAGTGGCCTATGTGTGGGGTGACAATGTGCCAGTTTGGAACCTGGGCATTGTGAGGATTCACTCACAGTTGCTGGCCCTCTGACCACCTCGAGGAATGAGAGGGACGTGGCCCAGCTAGCCAGCTGATCCAAGGAGCAGGAGAGTGAAGGGGAGCACACTTAGGCTGGATGCAGTGGCTCATGCCTTTAATCCCAGCACTTTGGGTGGCCGAGGTGGGTGGATCACGAGGTCAGGAGATCGAAACCAGTCTGGCCAGTATGGTGAAACCCTATCTCTACTAAAAATACAAGAATTAGCTGGGCGTGGTGGTGCCTGCCTGTAGTCCCAGCTGCTTGGGCAGCTGAGGCAGGAGAATTGCTTGAACCCTGGAGGTGGAGGTTGCAGTGAGCCAAGATCATGCCACTGCACTCCAGCCTGGGTGACTGAGCGAGACTCCATCTCAAAAAAAGTGGAGCACACTCAGTTCATCATAGTTATAGTGGGATCAAGAGACACCAGCCTGAATCAGAATCCTTCCCACACCCCAACTCCCCTGCACAGAGCTATGAGAAAAATAAAGGCTTATTGATGTATATTACCAAAAAATTATGATTATTTATTATGGGACAAAAGCTAACTAAACCAAGGAGTAAGCTAAAGAGGTGTCTATCCAGAGTGCATTTATTTCCCAATGAAAAAGGCATTATCTCCATGTCTAGTCTGAAACAAAAGTGGAAGGGTAAGTGTGCGAAGACAGGTGCTTCAACAGAACCAGAATTCCAGGTGCAGGGATGTTCTGTATAGTCTAATGGGGTCTTCTTGGCTTTGCTGTGGGAGAAGGCAGACCTTATTCATATCAAGATTATTTTCATATAGCTAACATTTATCAGCATCTGGTGACAGGCACTGTGCTAAGCACGTGACACATATTGTCTCTTTCAGTCTTAACAGCAGCACAAGGAGGCAGGCACTGCTAATTTCACAAATGAGGAAACTGAGGCATGCCAAGGATAAGCAGCTTGCCTACATTCACAGAGGGAGAGAGTAGGCAAGGCAGAATTCAAACCTTGCGTGATATGAGATAAAAAAGATGGTGATGAGAAGTGCAAACATGTATCCTTCCTCTATAATCACTTTACTGTTTTCATCACATTATGTGTATTAATTTATTTAATACTAGAAGCCTATGAAGTAGGTATTACTTATTATCACCATTCTACAGGCGAGGAAATGGGAGACAGCTGGTCAAGCCCCTGGCCTAAGTTTCCACTTAGGTAGTGAAGAGTGACCTGGACTTGAACATGGCCCCTCTAGCTAACTAGTACACTGTATTAAACAGCCATTAACACATTGCTCACCCTGAGGTGAAAGGACAGAAGCATGATCTTCTTTCTTTTTTCTGGAAACCTATAAGCTTCTCCAAGTGTTCAAGAAGAAATATGCATTCCAGGCACCATGGTTTTCTTCAAGTGTATAAAATGTGATAAACGGCCTTTAATTTATACTACAATCTCTCTGAGGCTCCACTGAGCTTTCATTCTTGCAAGTGCAATTGTCTTATTTGCTGCCTTTATGTTTACTTGTTTTTAGTTTTGTTTTTCTGATTGTGTATTTTTAGGCTCAACTCTGTCAGTTTACAAATTCAGAGGAATCCTAATGGAGTAATAAAAAGTATGCAAAAAAGAATGCTAATCATGATGGGTTTTTAGAGCTAATTCTAAGAAGTAAAAATAACCAGTTAAGGTACAAAAACAGCAGCCAGTTATTCCCCAGATCTGTTCGTACACATATTTTCTGTATCTGGCAGGAAAACCTCAGTGGCCTCAAGTCGTCAGACACTTTCTCCATTCAGTCTCCAAGTACAACAGTCACATCTCCAAGTGCATTCTGAAAGGATGTACAAATGTCATTCCCACTCACCTTAAAAGCAGCGCCTCCATGAATGATGGATTTGATAAAAATCCCCAAGTCTGTTCCAGTTTCTCTGGATTTGTTCCCTTTCAAGCTCACCCCGAGGCCAGCAGAACCTGAATCATTCAGGGGGATCTCAAAGGTGAGCTGCTCGGTGGTCTCCAGGGAGAGTGCACAGCAGTCAGGTTCTCCTTTCTGTTAGGGGAATACACATGAAAAGAGTGAAAAGAAGAAAGCAGATTAATATTTCACTCTCTCAAATGACCAGACACCGATGCAATCAGCAGGACAGGATGACTTGATCTCTTAACAGCTCTAATCGGTTCCTGGCAGGCAAAGGCTGGTCTTCACTGTCTGCAAGGAGCCACAATCCCATCCATGGAGCAAGGGAAGAGGTCTCAGGAAATAATAGTTGGTCATGGTCAACAGAGAGGATCGTTTGGCAAGTTAGAGTGATGCAATTTGAAACACTTTGTAAGCCTTTGGAAATTCAGCAGGATATTCTGCATAATAAAAAATGCTGGACATTAGACTTAGGGTATCCTGGGTATCAGAAGAGATCTTAAAGATAACGGAGTCTTAACATCTTCGCCTTACAGATGAAGATACAGAGCTTAGTGTAGAAATGTCTGAAAATTTCAGGAAAATACTCGGCATATGTAATTTAAGACCTATCATTTACTACGGAAACAATACTACTGGTAAAGTTTGTCAATAAGACACAGAGCACTGAATAAATGAAATGTTAGTTTAAAGTTACAGAAAAATGATTTATAATGGATATCATCAAATGAAATTTCACTTTGTCAAAACTCATGCTTTCAGCATGCATCTTTAGGTATTATAACTCACTGCCATTAAAATTTTAAACCTAAATAAAAATGATTATGTGCAACAAATATTCATGTCATATTTGACAAATGACACCTAGCCGCAAGCATACTGCTCTCAAGAAACACAGAGTATGGTGGCAAAAGGCATATTTAGGGTTCAGGTCTCCAGGGAGAAGTATGTGGTTAATCTTATTTGGTCCCTAGTGTTTTCAAATATACAGTGGTGGGAACAGACAAGTGCCGTCCACATGAGAATCTTTGCAGGTCTCCCTTCTGTATTCCTATTAAGCTTGTAGAAGTGTGAAACTGCCACAGTGTTCAACTGGAAAATTTGAGAATGAGATATCCCTGGAAACGATCAACTCACTCTAGGTTGGCAGTTCCTTCCTCTCTATAATTATATCTAGAGACTCTTATCCTAAGGTCACATTGAAGGGACTCTTATGTAAAATTACATATTTAAAAAATTACTATGAATGTCTGAATGTCAGTCACATATAACTATAAAATCAGAAGTAGCAAGGAACCCATAATTAAAAGCGGATTAAGAGGTCGGATCACAGCCAGCTCCACTGACATGACATTTTCAACCCCTCCCCAAATAGAGAAAATCCACATCTAACTTTAAAAGAAATAATTCTTTCAGTTAATTTTCTTTAAATGAAGTTATCTGTGAAGATTTTGACAACAGGTTGGTCAAAGAAATGAAACTTTATGGCTTAACAAATCTTTTACAAGTTAGCTCTTTTAACTAACTTATTATATTATTATCTAAAAAACAAATCCCATTATTTGATTACAACTAGCTGTCTTTTTTCCATTGGAATGCCAGCATTTAGTACTAAATGTAAACTATTAGCCTTCATCTTTGTCCTTCAAAACGCCCCGTTTAGAATCTATAACATTTCACAATCAATTATGTTTCCAGGCCTCTCTGGGATTTGCTTAATTTCAGTCTAATAAAGTTCCACTGAATTAAAGTGCAAACTGAAGGAAAAAGTGTTCTACTATAAGTTTGTGAACACCATTTCAACAGAAAAACTACAAAGGTCCTCTGGCTTTTCTCTATCAGAGACAAAGAGACAAGAACTAGTTTTGCTTTAGGAATAGCTTCAAATCACTTCATTTTATGATAAAATCATTTCTCTTTTGGCAATTATATTTAATTCTCAGTAAGACCGACAGCTGCTCTTTGCACTGACACCTATCATTTATTATCTAAGCGGTGGAAACAAAATAGAAATCAGATCGCATCACAGTTATCTTTTCTTTTGAAGATTTTTTTTCAAGTCTGACATCTGAGATTCAAAAATACAACAGAAACAATACACTAAAGGCAAACAATGACTGACTACTTCCTTTCTGAGTTCTTTGCACATATTAATACACTCATGCTTCACAACAAAGCTACAAGGTTTACTGTCAGGCCCATTTCACAGATGAGGAAACTGAGGTGCACAGCAGCTAAATGGCATGCTTACAGTCCAGAAGACTTGGAATGTGGAGGCTTTGTGGGGCTCAGGCACAGCGTGGTTCCTGTGTCAGACTCTCTTTTTTAATCTTTTCCTCTAGTGAATAGTTTTGAGTGGTCTGCTACATTTTCATGTTGGACATTATTCGGTATCCATTTTCAACAACAGTATAGAATTTTAAGGTGGCACATTTTCTGTAAACTATGATGTAAAAGGTGTTTTATTATTTTTTCTTTTTAAGAGTATACCTTAATTGACAAATGAAAAGTTTATATATTTATGGAGTACAACATGGGGAATACCTAAATTGAGCTAATTAACATACGCATTACCTTACATTCTTGCCATTTGTGTGTATGTGTTGAGAACACTTAAAGTCTACTCTCCTAGAGATTTTCAAGTATAAACTATAATATTATTATTATTTTAAAAAATAATGGCAAGAATGTAAGGTAATGCATATGTTAATTAGCTCAACTTAGCTATTATTTTTTGGAGACAGAGTCTTGTTCTGTTGCCCAGGCTGGAGTGCAGTGGCACTATCTCAGCTCACCACAACCTCCACCTCCTGGGTTCATCCAACAATTCTCTGCCTCAGCCTCCTAAATAGCTGAGATTACAGGCACCCACTACCACACCCAGCTATTTTTTTTAAATTTTTATTTTTACTAGAGATGGGGTTTCACTCCCTTGACCAGGCTGGTCTTCAACTCCTGACCTCGTGATCCACCTGCCTCTGCGTCCCAAAGTGCTCGGATTACAGGCATAAGCCACTGTGCCCGGCCCTACAATGTTATTAACTCTAGTCACTATGTAGTAGGATACACCTCTTGAGCTTATTCCTCCTAACTGAGATTTTATGTCTTTTGACCAACATTTCCCCAATCTCCCCTTCCTCTGTGCCTCTAACCAGCATTCTATGCTGCGAGTTCAACTGTCAGACTCTTCACTGCTATACTATATTGTATCCTTGTGTCTCAACTTTTGTCCGTCCCATGATTTAACCTACCCCTCAAGAAATTCTAGGACAGTATTCTACAATGACAGTAAGACACCATGCTATTTACATTCTTCACCCAAGTACAGTTATGTTTTATCTTTCTTATGCTATATCAAGCTTAAGCCATAATTAGTGCCCTCCAATAATAGCGAACTTCCCAAATGGTAAAGGAAGCCATTAGGGTAGTTAACACAGCCATTTCCTCTGTTAGAAATAAATGTCCCTTTAGCTAACATTAAAAAAAATCAATATGCTGAATGCCTCCTTCCAATAATACTGGTTCAACCAGTAACTCTGAAAATTAAACTCAAATCTTACCAGACAGCATTTTGTAGCAAAATGAAAATGGGTATAAAGTACTCCAAGTGCCCTAAATGCAAGACCTTAGCGATATGACGATCTCTCAAGCAGTGGTACCTCTAAACCTCGGATTCTACCTGTCTTCCATCTTTCAGACAACAGCTCTTTCCACTCACAGATATAAAGTGCACACACACGGCGCGCACGCCTGGACACACGGCGCGCACGCATGCGCACACACACGCGCGCGCACACGCACACACACTAAGTCTGGCTGGTGTAGTAAGAGAAATCTTGTTAATTTCATTTTGTTTTAAATCTTTTCGTTACTTGTTATTCTTTGCCACTAGAAACCGAGTCTCTAGATACAACATCCTTGAGATTCCCAGAGCCATGCCCAGAATGGACGCTCTAATTCTTCCCCCGCATAGGTGTAGGCCTTATGACCAGCAGCTGCCCAGGGCCGGTCATACAGAACCCTCAACTTAGGCTTTTTCGACCTCAGCACAGCTGATATTTGAAGCTGATATTTTTTTGTTGTGGGTGTCTGTCCAATGCATTGCAAGATATTTGACCACGTCCTTGGCTACTACACACCAGATATTAACAGTACCTCTTTGCCAAGCTGCGACAACCAAAAATGCCTTTGGACATTGCCAAATGTCACCTGGGGTCAAAATCACCTCCAATTGAGAACTACTGCCCTGAATCAACAACTGCTAAGTGCAGTAAATTCAAAGCAACCAGCGCCCAGAAGGTGTTTTAGCAACTGTTGGCTGCGTTGCTGCCTGTTCATATGTTCCCAAGTCCCAGGATGGGGAGGCAGTTTTTACTGAGAGGGATGACAGATGTCTCCGAGTGGAAAAAACAAGAGATATTTCAGCACAATTAAGCTGAAAAAGTGTTAGATCCACAGGTTCATGACTGAACACTTAGTTGGTCAGAATCAACTACTGGAGAATCACATAATTAGTTATATTTCTAATCATATGGCAGCTAATTTTCCAGAGGAAGTATGATTTCTGTGGGATGAACAGAGTAGGACAGGTGGTAGAAAACAGAAATTTATAAGTGCATATACAAAATGTTTCCTTTTACTTATACAGGGATCCAGAATGGGGCAGGGTGCGGAGGCTCATGCCTATAATCCCAGCACTTTCAGAAGCTGAGGCAGGCAATCACTTGAGGTCAGTTTGAGACCAGCCTGGACAACATGGTGAAATCCTAAAAACACAAAAATCAGCCAGTCATAGTGGCACTCGCCTGTTATCCCAGCTAATAAAAATACAAAAATTAGCCATTCATAGTGTCACTTGCCTATAATCCCAGCTACTCGGGAGGTTGAGACAGGAGAATCGCTTGAGCCCAAGAGGTGTGGGTTACAATAAGCCAAGCTTGCGCCACTGCACTCCAGCCTGGGTGACAGAGTGAGACTCTGTCTCAAACAAAAACAGAAACAAAAAAAAACAAAAAGAACAACAACAACTTCCTCCCACCACATACATACACAAAGAATCAAGGAGGAAAATGCAACCTATCAAGTGAGGCTTATTAGACCTGCTATGCTTATACGTATGCTTTTCTTGGTGA